TTTGGTCCGAATGCCCTCAGGGGTGGTTTGGCTGGCTGGAGTGTTGTGGGGATCGAACTCCAGCAACCTGAGGCTGACAGCTTTGTAGAAGCAGCCACTTAAACAACTGAGCTAAGGCCAGGCCCCACATGAGATCTTAATACATGCATATAATACACACTGATAAAATAAGGATAATTGATAGTTCCATCTGCTTACCACTACTTCGAGTTTCTAGCATTTTGAAGAGATTCTTCAAGCAATTCTTAGAAAGTCTGTACCGCACCAGGTGTGATGGTGAGCCCCTGTGATTTCAGTACTCTGGAGGCTGAGGCAGGAGGAGCCGAGGCGAGCGGCACTGCACCTACCTGGGACGTGCAAGGTCCTGAGTTCAATTCCTGATAAGAACAGCAATGACAAAATACAGATAAATAAGTATCAGTCGCCTTGAAAAGGCCCGGGAGGATCACTCAGCCAGCCCCCTCCAGGAGAAGCCCCTGTTCTGTATTCATTTCCCCTTGCTACGTGACTCGCTTCCCCATTTGATTCTGATTTGATCAACTTCACCTGAGCACTTATGTTCATAACCTTACGATTGACCCTAGTTTTGTCCCATCTCACACCCACCCTGTGAGTTCCCATGTTTCCCGTCTTACACCCACCTCGCCTCATGGATTTGCTTTATAAAAATCTCTAGAAAAGGAAGGATCCTTGACAACTCCCTTGGGTTCCCTTCTGTCCCTCTCAGACAGAAGCTTTCTTTTCCCCAATATATTCTGCTCTTAACCTCTCTTGTTCCTAAAATTCATTCTTCAATTGTAGAGAACACAAACTTGTCCCAGTTATCTAGCAGGTTGGGAATTTCTTTCCCCTATATTGCCCGCAGGATCTTTCCAGGGATGGGCCAGCAGGCTCAAGCGCAGGAATCCTCCTCCCTCATATATACATAATTTATTTTTATTTTTTATTATTATTTTTTGAGATCGGGTCTCACTATGTAGCCCAGGCTGGCCTTGAACTCACGGCAATCCTGGCCCAGCATCCCCAGTGCTGGGGTCACAGGCGTGGGTCACCACACCCGGTTACCACATAGTTTTCTTCTTTCTGATGGTCACAGGCTCTTGCGTCTCTGGACATTCACATTGTGCAGGTGGCAGTGGAGGGAGTTGCGGCATCCAAGCAACTGGAGTGGGGGCCAGAGCTCATTTCTCACAGCTCCATGGCCCAAAGGCAGGAGCGGATGTGGACACCAACAACGCACGCATTCCTGAATGGCCAAAGCATTCAGGCTTGCGTGGCCAGGGCACAGGGACAGGTTTGCACAAGCTGCTGTTGGCAGTGGCTTCTGTCCAAGGGCCAGTCACTTGATTAGGATCGGGGCCAGAGAGATGGCTCAGTGGAATAAGCGCCTCCCTGGCAAGTGCAAGGACCTGAGTTCAATCTCCAGTTCCGAAAAACAAACAAAAACCTGATTAGGATCTTCTGAGTGCTCCTCTGGAGACTGTAGGAGAAGAGGCCCTTTGTCACCTGCATTGCTAGTTGCTCCCTGGGGCTCCTTAGGTGGCCTTATGCGTTCTGAGGGGCACATAGCTGAGGCTTCTTTTTTTTCCAAGTAAATCATCTTTATTTTAATTTTTTTAATAGATTGCAAATTGAAAATAAATTATTTACAAACATAAATGAATGCAACAATAAAAATTTTCCAAAATAAAAATGAAAAACTTTACAGATCAATCATAATAGTTCACTGTGTCAAAACCAAGAAACTTATATTCATTTTTTTCACAGCTGATTAATAGGACAGTTTTGATAATCAATACATTGTACATTGTTATCTTCTTAGTGGTTATCCATAGTACAAGAAGCAAACAGCATATTCTGTCCAAACACTGTTAGTACACCTCTTTCTTCTCTTTGGATTAAGCGAAAGTAGCTGTAAATTTATCCTATTTTGTATATATAAATACAAAATGATCTTTCATTTGTATCATTTTTTTATTGTCTGTCAGAGGTGGATATTCTATTGGCATCTAAATACTGTAGGTGTTTGAATTCAGCTATATAATCCAACACTGTCTAGCAGTCTATAATATTAGTGGGTTATCCTCAGAAGTTATTGACTTGAGCCTTTTACAGCTCATCGCATTAATATGGCTTTACTTTCTATACCTCATTTTTATACTTTTCTGCTGGATGGTTAAGACCAAGACCTATATGACAAGAAATGTAACTTTGGTATCTGATAAGGTCCATCAAGTCCCCTCAGGATTTATCCTGTAGCCCTGTACCGCACTTTGTAGATCCTCTGTCAGTGTCAGCCATGAGGATGAGTCACGGCCATTGCTTGACCAATTTGCTCTCTGTGAAAGCCTGAGAGAATGTTTTCTCTCCATGTGACTCTCCCCAGGCACACTATACATCATCGATCACACTCCTCTGTGGCTCCATAATCTTTTTTTTTTTTTTTTTTTTTTGGCTGCTTGAAATATTTATGGCTTTTAATTATTTTATTGAGTGCCAGCAATTTATGTTTGGATCCTGAGACAGACTCACGTGCCTTTCCATAATCTTCTTGATCAGAAAATTTGGAGCACAACTGAGTTACATATCATTATAGTACAGGTTCTCCTATGTCCCGAGTCTTCACTGACCTTGAAAGGCTAGGGCCAAAGTGTTGGCTGACCTTGCAGCCCTTCCTTTTCTCCAATTTTGAACTGCTAACTTAGGTTGTTAACCCTCCAGAAGAGAAGCTTATTATTATTATTTTGCGGAACCAGGGATTGAACCCAGGCCCTTGCGCTTGCCAGGGAAGCGCTTATTCCACTGAGCCATCTCGCTGGCCAAGAAGCTAATTAGTAACCTGCAATATATGCAGTTCGGTTTACCCTGTCTGTCTAAATATCAAACATTTTGGCATATCATGGAACAGGTATTTTCCATCAAATATTGATACGTTGAACTTTAAGTCCTTACAGAATATGAAGGTAAGATAATTTTATAAAAGTAGAAATAAGCATTTACATATTTTTACAAAGAAATTTAGAAACGTAACCATATACGGAATTGTCAGTCCTTTTACTAGGGAGACAATACGATATTCCCAGACGTGGGTCTGGTTTATTTCACTAATAAGTTTTTGCTTCTTGTGTTTGTTGTGTGGTTCTAAGGATTGAACCCAGGGCCTTTGCACTGATCTACATCCCCAGCCCTTTTAAAACATTTTTTATTTTGAGACAGGATCCCCTACTAGACTGCTAAATTGTCTGAGCTAGGCTCAGAGTCGAGATGCTCCTGACTGCCCCCCAGCGCCGGTGTCACGGGTGCCCTGAGGCTTTAGCCTTTCAATGCCTCTGCCACCCACACTGGTAGGACCTCTGAGGAGCACAGCTCTGGCCTGCTGCCCCACCCCTCCCTGCCACAGTCCGTTGGCATCCAGGACTGTTCAGGTCTGAGTTTCCTGAGCTTGCAGCCCCTAATGAGGCCGGGGCCTCTCCCAGGTGCCCCCAGGCTGTGTCCCTAGAACCCACAGCACCTCCACGCCATGACCCAAGGCCCCATCCCTGTCCTTCCTCATCCAGGGACTGCAACCTCTGCATGGGCCACTCCTTTCACTCACCCTCTACGTGGCCTGTGTCCCGTGGCTCAGCCTACACATGGCTGTCACCTGGCAATGGCCAGGCTCATGATAAAATGACTCCTGACCTAGGAGTGTAGTCACAGGGTGGCCACATAAACCACAGGCTGGGAACACAGCAGTGCTGAGTGATGCCACTTGTATGTGGCCCTGGATTCTATGACAGTCACAAAGAGAAAACAAGAACAAGAAAAGGCCAGTCCTGCTGGCGGCCCCAGGCAGCGGGACTCGACACCCAACACATGGGCTCCTGTGTCCTGCTGTCCAGCGGCAGCGGCTCCCTTTTCCCAGAGTCAGCTACAAAGTAGAGCTGAGATGGTTGGGAGTCTGCACACTACCTTCCCTCTCCACCCCAAATCTGAAGTGAAGGGGACTGGAGGAGACCCCAAAGGGTCACGATCCCAGTTTTTTTCTTTCTGTACCCCAGGTGGGCCTCGAACTTGCAGCAATCCTCTTGCCTTAGCCTCTGCATGCTGGGATCATAAGCGCGCGCCACCACACCAAGCCTGATCCCCTAGAGATGAGGAAACTGCTAGCCCGTGTCCCCATCCAGTGCTCAGCTCACTGGGGGTGTCCTCTGGCACCACAGGAGGTGCTGGGGAGATAGGGTTCACCCAATCCCCAAGGTCACTCCCATCTCACCTCAAGTTTGCAGGTCCCAAAAGAAACCACAGCCACTTTTGAAAACAGCTTGTTTCACACTGTAAAAACTCAGATCTTACATACAAAAGCAGTACAATGAAAATAACATTAATAACATTATACAAGGTAACTCCTACAAACGTACACAACCCTCGGTGGGTCCCTCATGCTGGCCGCAGCGGCTCCCAGCCACATTTCCTTTTTTGTATACAGGGTAGAGCCAGGGCCCGAGCGTGTGGATCCCACTGTGCTACACTGGCAGCACCTCGTCCTTGCATCGTGAGGCCCCACCACGCGGCAGGCGGCTAGGATTGCAGGAGTGCGCTGCCACACCCGGCGTAGCTCTAGTTTCCTACGGCAGTACCTGGGAAAGGAGGAGCAGTCCAAAGAGCTGGCGCTGAACCCCGCCCCGCACCCCACAGGCGTGGTGGCGGCCTGGCCAGCCTAGACGTGGGTGCTTTCAGCCCTGCGGGGGGCAGTGCTCTGAGGGTGGCAGAGGTTAGTTGTCCTGGGGTAGAAGGGGGGTCCTGTGGGCAGGAGATGGATGGCAGAAGGAAGGTGTTCACATCCCGACCCCTGGGGCTATGACATTCAGTGACATGCAAGGGCCTTGATGCTGTGGGAGGGATGGAAACAGGGAGATGTAGGATCTGAGTGAGTTCCCATGGGGCCCGGAGTGGAGAAGGGGCAGGAGGCTGCAGGTGGGCGTGGAAGGGGCAAGGGGGAAGAACACAGCGGCTCCAAGCACTAGAAGACGCAGGGCAGCCTCCGCACAGGGATGGGATGGACCCGTGGGGGTCAGCAGGTGGAGCCCAGGGCCTCCTGGGACCCTCCCAGGAAGTCTGGGCAAGGGCAGGAGTGTCTAGGCCTGAGCTCTGCTCTCCCTCCAGTTCAGCATGGACTACACCTGTTCCACCAGCAGAGGTCCCCAGAGCTGTCTGCAATCAGAGCTGCTGAACCCAGACCAGGCCAGGCCCTAGAGAGGCGGAAGGGGCACCAAACTCCCTCCTAGATGGATCCCCAGGAGCCAGACTGGAAGACAGGAGTGGCCCAGGGCCCCTGGCCATACCCTTTGCACCCCGCACCCCCCACTTATGTGCACCAACAGCAGTCAGCCCTCCTTTCCAGACAGCTCCTCGGCTGCCCACCTTGGGCACCCTGTTCCACCACCACACACAGACTCGGACAGGCTCTGCAGCATGGGGCCTGTTCCAGAGCCAGGCTAGGAAGAAGGAGCAGCAGAATGGAGTAGGCCTGTGAGGGGTGCAGGAGCTGGAGCTGGTCTGGGGAGCATCCAAGTGAGGTGTGCAGCCTGCTCGCTGGAAGCTCAGTAGGTCAGACTCCAGGAAAAGCTACCCGAGCTTTATAAGTGAAAATAGGGGCCTGAAGGGTTCCTGTGTGCCCGTGTCGATGTCCAGGATGTTCCGGATGCTCTTGACGTCACTGTTTGTTAGGTTGCCTTTGATGGCCAGGATGGCACTCAGGTGACCTTTGCTGGGAAGGAGAGGACTAGCTGTCATCCCTGCTGGTCCCAGCACCCTTAAACACCCACACTGGCTGCCCAGACTCCAGGGTCCCAGGGCCAAAGCCACCACTGCCCCCTGGGGCCTCACTCATCTTTTCCCACCTTGCTAGGTGCTGCCCTGCCACCTTCCAACCCTCCACTTCTCAGCTAGTGTGACACTGCCCCAGAGCCTTCCACTCTGTAGCAAGCACCTCTGTCCAACTCTGCAGCAGCAACCACCTGGCTCTCTTCAGGTCATTGCTGTTTTGGTTTTTGTTTTACACATTTTATTTATTTATTTTTTTTGGCAGAACTGGGGATCAAACTCAGGCCCTTGCACTTGCCAGGGAAGCACTTATTCCACTGAGCCATCTCCCCGGCCCCAGGTCATTGCTGTTGGCCCTTGACAAGCTGTAAGGGCTGTTGGCCCTTGACAAAGCTGTACACGAGGGGCACAGGACCTGGCCTGTACAGTTCTTTATTGCCTCCCAGTGCCTGTCGGGGAGGCTGACACTCAGCAAACATAAATAAATGCTGGTGGGATGGATGGGTAGGCAAATGGATGGATGGAGAGATGGATGGATGGATGGATGGATGGATGGA